TGGTGCTTCTGTCGTGGCTTATAAGATGCAAATGGATGCTGGTTTGTCTGATCTCCTCATTTAAGTGCCCATTCCTGGTGGCTTGCTAACCTAACATACAAGGTAAGGCAGGGGCCAATGCAATGCCAAGCAGAGCAAAGACAGTCTATCATGCTCCCTGCCTATGCACACGATTGTAGGTGCCCACACACCCCCTGTGACCTCTTATTTTTTTCATCATTTTTCTAGCCATTTCTCAAGCCCACACTTTGCCTTTCGTGCTCAGGCTGTGGTTCAGAACTTGGCAGTAGTCAGCTAAAAGCTAGATGAATACACTGAATTATTTTCCTCTAAAAGAGCTGACAGGATGAAAAGGAAATGAAAGTTCGTTTCCTCCATCAAGGCTGAGGAGTCAGTTTGAGAAGCTTGAGTTCCAAGGCTCATTTCCCCGAGAAGGAAATGGTAGCCCAGAAAGGCCCATTTGTGGACAAGAGAAGGAGTTGATTCAACTGTCCTTGATTTTTAAAAATCACACAGAACATTTGATGGAAAGATCAAACATTTTCTATAAAGAGCTAACTTACCCTTCAGATGTGAGGCTGACCACTACTGTGGTGTTTATGATAGCATTTTCCTTCCAGAAAGTGTAGATGGTAAGTCTGGATGAACAAGGCAGGGCTGGCCATGTAGCCGTGTGTCTGTCATGTCATGTGGGACAGGGTACTAGTAATGCTAAAGTACAAAGGGTCAGTGGATTCAATCCGTGTTGCCAAACCAGAGCCACCTCCAAATAGGCACCGCACTTGCGTGGAATCAACGCCAGTTCCCTGTGTGTGATGGGAGGGCAAGTGCGAGCTTAATCTGTATCGTATGTCTCGGAAAAGCTCCAGACAGACAGACACCAGCCTGGAGTGAGAAGTGTGGATTTTTCAGTTACTAATGTTTAAAGGGCAACATTTCCTCAGTTTCATAAAACAGAATGAAGACCTTTTTCGGAGCCTGCTTTAAAGGAACTCTTGGAGGCGTCGCTTCTGTAGGCATTCACTGCTGGTAGGAAAGATGACACCAGCAAGTAGAAATATCCTTCCTATTAGAGACAGTCCTAGTTTCACATGGTACACAGGCAAGCGGCTTAAACAGAGACAGGAAAAGCCTCAGTACCAGGGAATCCTTGGGGAAGCGGCTTATGGGCTCTGTGACTATCTGAAATGTGCATACAAAATATCGAGTAGTGGTGCATCTTCTGATGGTTCATAGCCTTCATCAGATTCTCGAGTAAGTCCAGAAAAGTTTAGAAGGTGCCCACCCCTTCCACCCACGTAAATCCAAGACAGGTTCAAAAACCAATGTTGACAGAATGGTCAACAGACAACAAAGTAAACAGAAGTTATAGGTGGATCTTAACTGACTGAAATGGGAGAGGACTTCGTAAGCGCAAAAGGAATGGGCGAATTCACCAAAGATTAATAAATTAAATATTAAAAACTGGAATTTCTTTTATACCAAAAAATAGCATAAATAAATAAAACTGAAAGACAAATTAGGGAGATGTTTACAGTAAATTACTGGAAAAGGGTAAATATTCTTAACCCATTAAGCAAATGAACTGTAACAAGAGGGAGGAGATATGGGGATATATGTATATGTATAGCTGTTCACTTTGTTACAAAGCAGAAACGAACACACCATTGTAAAGCAATTATACTCCAATAAAGATGTTAAAAAAAACCAAACTAACAAATCAGAAAGAAAAACTCTCTCTCACAGAGAAAAAAAACAGGCAAAGGATGGGAACAGACAACTTACAGAACAGATACAGTTAATAGCAGCTGTATGCTGGAGCTAGCTGTAACCAGCTCATGTCAGCTGATTCTCTACTTCTTGTTCAGTGACATCACGTTAATAACTTGAAATTGATCATGGGGGAGTTTTTACAGCCGAGAAGTTACCTACAAATCAAGGCCTCTGTTTTGGACAGCCAATTACCAGCACACCATTTGTTAACAGATACACAAACAGCAGTTTAAGTGTCCTGGCAATCAAAGAAATGCAAAAAGAAATGAGATCTGGACAAGATGGAATAAGCACATTTCACCCTATTCCTCCTGCAAATTATAACAGAAAAGCCTGGAGAAAATTCATAAAGCAGCTGACACTCTAAAAGTTGCAGGAAAGTAAATGGACTGGCTGGGGACCTCAGAACGCAAGGAAAGACCTAGTAGTGAGCCCTTGTTTTTTGTCAGTAGCAGTAGACACACACACACACACACACACACACACACACACACACACACACACACACACACACACACACACACACACACACACACACACACACACACACACGCCGGAGGAAAGCCTGCTATCTTTAGCTAAAAGAACAGGAGAAGGGTGACCCAGTAAGAGCAACATTTGACCATACCTGACCTTACTCTACCTCTGGGTGGGCACTAGGAAAAAGCCATGCCCTGCTGTCCCCACTGGGCACCACATCCTGGGGCTGGCAGAGCCCTGCTTTCCATTCCTCCTTGCAATAACAGACCTCACCTCTTCCCTGGAACAGAGACTGTGGATGGAATTTTTCAGTGGATTTCTCATCACCATAAAGACCAGAAGGAAGCAGAACAACAGTTTTCAAATGTTGCAAGACTAAAACAGTTAACCCAGAATTCTATATCCATTGAAAATATTCTTCAGGAATAAAGGTGAAACAGACATTTTCAGATGAAGGAAAACTAAGAGAATTTGTCACCGGCAGATCTGCTTTTGAATGGCTAACTCGAATAGCTGAAGGAAGTTTTTTCAGACAGAAAGGAAATGATAACAGAAAGAAACCTGGAACATCAGAAGTGAAAAAAGAATGGAAAGGGTGACTATATGAGTAGATACTGTAAACCATTCTTCTTAAGTTTAAAAAAATTATGCTCGATGTTTGAAAGCAAAAATGACAACATCTGAAGTGGTTCTTACTACATAAAGGTAACACTTAAGACATCCATATCTTAAAGGGAGAGGGATAAAGGGACCTAAAAGGAGGTAAAGTTTTTACATTCCACTTGAAGTGATGAAATATTGATACTAGTAGACTGTGATAAATTATGTACCTATATTGTAATCTTTAGAGAAGCAGTTTTCAATCAGGGGTGACTTTTGTCTCTCAGGGAACATCTGGCAATGTTTAGAGACATGATTACACATGCTACTGCCATCTATAGTTGGTAGAAACCAAGTTGCTGCTAAATATTCTATGATACATGGGTCAGTCCCATACAACAGTCATCCAGCCCCGATTGCCAACAATGTTGAGGTTGAGAAATCCTGCCCTAGGGCAGCCATACAAAAAAGTGCAGACAGACAATATAAACACTCCTGATGAATCAATACGGAATAGTGAAAAATGTTCAACAAACCCACAGGAAGTCAGGAAAGAGGAGTATGATAAAAACATTAAGATGGTAGACTTCAATTCTAACATATCAATACTTACATTAAAAGTAAATGGTCTATACACATCAGTTAAAAGACAGTGACTGACAGAACAGATGAAGAAATACACGACCCAACTATATGTTGTCTCTGAGAAACTCATTTCAAGTAAAGTGACATAGGTCGATGAAAAGTAAAAAGATGGGAAAACACATACCTTGCAAACCCTAATCAAAAGAAAACTGAGGTGAATGTATTTATGTGAGATAAAGTAGATTTTAGGACAAAGTCATCAGAGCTAAAGGACATTACATAATGATAAAAGGGTCAATTCACCACGAAGACACAATGATCCTAATTGTTTTGTACCACGAACAACAGAGCTTCAAAACACATGAAGTAAAAACTGATGGCCGAGAAGAGACGCATTTATAGTTGGAAACTTCAACATCCCTTTCAGTAATTTATAGAATTAGTACACAGAAAAAGATATTTTGTTTTATGTATCAAATGCGCAAAGCTTTGAAATGTTAATACTTAGTACTAGTGTGCTCTGTACTGTATGGGAATGCAAGTGCGTATACATCCTGAAAAAATGTTTAATTTATACATTAAGACGCTTAAAATGGTTATACCATTTTTCAACCCAGTATTTTCACTCTTAGGAATCTCTCCAAGGGAATAATTAAAGTGGTCCAAAATTTATCTATCTAGACCTTCATAAGAGAGCTATTTATAATAGCAAAAATTGGAGACATCCAAACATGCCCAGTAATTGGCAAGCACTTAAAAAAGTATTCTATATACACATACAGTGCTGTCGATAAAATAACACTTTAAACCATTTTTAATGCCATGGTAAATGGGAATGACTTTAAGGCAAAGAAGTAGTATATATATAAATCAATATACATATAGAATAATCTAAATTATGTTAAATAGACATTTAAGTAAACAAAAATTGATAGAAGAAAATATAACATTGATAGCAATGAAAAATAACCAGTGATTATATCTTTGTGCTTTTCATTTGGTTGCTTTTACTTTTCTCCCCACCTCCAGTTTCCTGTTGTTCATGTCATAACAAACTGTTACTTCCAAAAACAGCATAAAAGTGAGGTCATATACACAAAGTGTCTTATACACTCTTGCATCTGGTATGGAGAAACTAAATCGGTGGTAACATTTTTGTAAATAATTTCTGAAGGTGAAAAAGGTAAGAAAGTATGCCCATTATCATTCCTAAAGTGATCATCTCTGTTTTATTGCCCAGGCCTAATTATTCACAGTGCCACCTGTCATTCTCAAAAGTGTCATGGTCTAGATGACAAGTTGAATGGGCACCCTCGCCATTCTGAATAGAAAAGATAAAAATATTCCTAATAATAACTAAAATCTATTGCCCCACAGCTAGACGCCAAGCACTGTCCTAAATGCTTTACCTGGACGATCCTGTTTATCCATCTCAGGAGCTGAATTATCTCCATTTTATACAGGTGCTGAGAACTTAAGCAACTCGCCCAAGTTCAGACTGTAGCAAGTAGCAGAGTCTGGATCTGAATGACCCGCCATCAGATTAACAGCTGAGGGCGTACCTGGGCCTGTCTGAGTGCAGGGTTGGCCGGCAGAGGTCTGGCAGGGACGCAGGGCACACGAGGAGCCGGGTGCAGGGGCGGGAGTCCTCGCTGAGAAGAACTGGGCAGAGGGGCGGCGTCAAGGGCTTTGAGGGGTCTGCTGATGTCCACATGCTGACACTGCGGCAATCTCCTGGGATTGTCCTGCGGGGTCAGAGCAAAGAGCCATGATGTGGTCATTACTGTGTAATCCCTGGAGGGACAAGCAGTGCTAACTCATCTGCTCTAGCTGCAGGGGGAGGGCAGGTGGAGGAGGGGAAGAAATCAAGGAATTACAGCAGAGGGCATCTATAATTATTGATGTCAGCTTCCGGATTCTAACAAAGCACCCTCCCCCACCCCCAAACCTGGAAAAGTGGGGCTGCTTTCTATCTAATTGTTTAAAAACTGGTTTAATTCGTTAACAAGCAGGTGCAAGGCAACCTTAGGAAGCACCAACATACATGAAGACACAGACCAGATCTTAAGGAAATCCCAAAGGACTTGTGAAAATGAGACGTAGTTCAGTGCGCACAAGGCTCGATGAGAACTGAGGAAAACTCCTGGGGAAGGAGCATCGGGGCAGAGGTGAGGGTCTGAGTCTGGAGGACCATCTCCTGCCTGGTGGCCTTGTTTTTAGCAACAGATGAGAACGGAGGCAGTGTGGGTCTCATGCCCCCTGCCCCTCCCTGCCTCCCTTTTTTCTTCCTTTCTATAAATAGCTTTATTGAGGTTTCATTGACTATTAATTGCATATATTTAAAATGTACAATTTGGTAAATTTTGACATAGATGCACACCCATGAAACCATCACAGTAAGTAAAGCGATGGACATATCCATCAGCCTGTCGTCCTTCCCTCCCACCGCCCCCCCGCTTTCTCCTTCTCCCAGCAACTACTGATCTGATTTCTGACACTATAAATTGGTTTGCATTTTCTAGAATTTTATATAAATGAAATCATCATTTTTGGTCTGGCTTCTTTCACTCATCATCATTACTTTGAGATTTATCCAAGATGTAGTGTGGATCAACAGTTCATTTTTTCTAATTCCGAGTAGCATTCCACGGTGTAAGTATACCGAAGTGTGTTTACCCTTTTACCTGTTGATTGATATTTGGGTAATTTCTGGTTTGCGGCTCTTCAAGGTAAAACTGCGTCTTGGGCTCTTGCAAATGAAGCTGTTTTTCCTGTCTCCCACGGTTAGGGGTGAAAGGGGATAATACTTATTAGGAACGGCTGTCTCCTCTTTGGAACCCAACCCATAGGTACATCAAAAACACTTGGTGGGGGAGCCTAGATATCAGAGTGAACACTAGTCATAATTCACCAAGGTCGCAGGAAAGTGAAGAGACAGCAGGGAACCATGAGGTACTTTGGTTTGAGGGTCCAGCTCTTTGAAGCCATAGGTTGGACAGAGCTTCTATAGCCCAGGGCTGGAGCACAATGGGCCCGACCAAGGGTTCAGTGTAACTCAGAAATACCCTGGGAGTAGCAGCGGGCCACAGCAGCTCTCCCAAACCCAGTCAGCGGCATTCTCAAATCACAGAAGGGGTCCCGCTGCAGAAGCCTGCCTGGTCAGCATACGCGGTGGGCCTCCTAGGACTGTGGCCACCTGGGTGACTGGAGGGATGAGGACTATGTAGCATGTCCCGCAGGGCACATGGCCTCCATGGGACCTGGCACCGTGAGCCTCTTCCAGCGCCAGCCATCACCTCGGGAAGCCCCTGTGGTCCCGAGGGTGCTGACCCGGCGTCTCACAGCAAGAGGCTGCGGGGTCTACTCCTGCTCAAGCTCTTATTGAAAAACCTGAGTCTTCATGCGTTTGCTCGCTTCTTTTTTTTTTTTTTTTTTTTTTTTTTTTTT